CCCCAAAACCCCCAAAACCCCAAAACCCCATGATTCTATCTCGATAATTAAATTGAGAAAGTTCGAATAATGATAAATATATATAGTCTGCAGTGATAATTGTGAATTTTCCGATAGATGTAGTATTTATTTATTATCTATGAGTACATACTATAATATTAAATTGAATTGAACTAAAGGCATTATAATTGAGATGAATAGTATATTTTCTAAGCCAAATAAATAATTGGCTCTAAAACCCATGAATCACAAGATTGAATAATTACTTAGAGATTTAATAGATGATGATAAAATAAGCATACCAATACTACTATCCGAAAGGAAAGCCTGCAAAAATGAGACATAAAATTAAAAAAAATATTTCATGAGCATAATTGACAAATATCTCATTTTTTAGAAATAAAATTCAGGGACAGAACAAATGGAATAGTTCTATTTGAAATATGAGTTTTGCTAATTCTAAAGCTTAAAAAGTTAAATAAATCATGATAAAATAATTGGATTCTGTTTAACTTATCAAGAAAGAGGAATTGAAATTATTTACTAATGTAGCGCAGCAATCCAGTAATCGGAGAATGATTAAAAAGTTTTACTAAAATAGCTTAAGGCTCACACAATAAAAAATTTCAGACTATCTTCATTCAACTTCTTGGAAACACTAGGAGAAGGTTTGACTTCAAAAGTATATAAAGTAAGCCATCTTAAGAAAGATAATAATATTTTCGCTCTTAAGGTTATAAATAAGATTCAAATTGATGAGGATCTTCAGCAATCTCTGATTGATGAAGTAAAAATATTGAGGAAACTTAGAAATTGCTAAAACGTGAATCGCTTGTATAAGATATATGAGACTTCAAATAATTTATACTTGCTTCTAGAATATAAAGAGGGAGGTGACCTCAAGTAATATATAAAACAGAGAAATTTTTTTCCTGAAAACGAGATCAAACTTATTTTGGCATAGTTACTGCTAACACTGGATTATTTTCATAGAAGGGGAATAATTCATCGAGATTTGAAGCCAGACAATATATTATTGAATTAAAAATAAAGAGTTGAAAACGATATCACATTAGCAGACTTTGGATTTGCAGTAGACATATCCAAAAAATATCCAGACGAAGCCCTTATATGTGGCACCGCTGGTTACTTCGCCCCAGAAATATTGCAGGGCTAAAGATACTCAAATAAATCAGATATCTTCAGTACTGGATGCATTTTATATATGTTGATGACTAATAAATCATTATTTACAGGATAACATTAACGAGAAATTTTATTAAAAAATAAACGTTGCTTATTTTCATCAAATATGAATGAAGAAATAAAAAAATATTCTAATGATCTTCAGGACCTGCTAAATCGATTATTAATTTGTGATTAAAACTTAAGACCTAATGCTGCTGATGCTCTTTCACATAAATTATTTGATGAGATTGAGGAAGGAATCAAAGAATCTTTAATACTCAACTCAATAGATTTAGAAGTTGCTAATTCAGAAATGGTTAGACAAAAGTTATATGATATCAGTATTTTTAATTAGCACAAACTCTTAGAAAACTTAGAAACAAATGATTTATGGAAAATAGAAGGATAAAAGGACCCAACTGGCATAACTTCACCTGAATTAATACATTAAAATTATATCACAAGACAAAATAATAATAATAATTGCTTTGGCAGTCCTTCAAGTTATCTCTAAATAATTAAAAATTCTCAGAGAATAAGAGATGTTAGAAATCTTGATATTGCTGGATTAAAATCCTCTGTTTAAAGCATAAATAATCTGAATAGTCCTAATATTAGAGCTCAGCATAATACTTTAAATTGTTTTTAAGATGCCTAAAAAGCATCTCATAGGTCTTAGTCACCCCACAAAAATAGAAAGTTGTCTCGTGTTGATAATTAAAATAAAGATTCAAAATCTAATTAAAAAACTAGGTAAAATATAATGAGGACTCCAGGGACATACCATCAGTAAAAAAATTAGCTTCATTCATTCGATAAATAATTTATAATTGAAGTGTCACAGATAGGCAAATAGTAATAACCTGAATAATTTCATTAAAGTATTGAAATTAAAGAATAAGATTTTTCTGAAGACATCTGTGAAATAAACATGAAAAATTACACCCTAATGGAATAGAAATAAATCAGGATGAGCTAAATTAACAAAGCGTAGATGTCTAGAATTTTTTAGTGAACTTTCATGCTTCAATGACTTCATTTACACTTGTAGTATAATCGATAAATTAAAACATTAAAAAGTATCACATAATTTTATCAAATGATTCCTGAATAAAATATTTTTGCTAAACTAATTCACATCACTTGTTTTTAAAACGTCTGGGGTTTTGGGGTTTTGGGG